GTGTGTAGTTGTTCATTGTCAGCAGGTGTTTCCATGTCAAGTTTGTGCTCTATTTCTGTAGAGAGTCCGCACTATTGTGCGTGTTTTGTTTATTACGCTGAGTGCGTTATTTTTTCTTGTGCCTCCGGCTCTGTTTGTAGCCGTTCATTCTGTGGACTTTATTAAAGTATTTCGGACTACTTCTGCATCCTGCATCTGATTCCCACACCACACCTACGCCAGCTGTGACACCGTGCTTCACGGTTGGGATGGTGTTCTTCGGCTTGCAAGCAACCCCCTTTTTCCTCCAAACATAAAGATGGTCATTATGGCCAAACAGTTCTATTTCTGTTTCATCAGACCAGAGGACATTTCTCCAAAAAGTATGATCTTTGTCCCCATGTGCAGTTGCAAACCGTAGTCTGGCTTTTTTTATGGCGGATTTGGAGCAGTGGCTTCTTCCTTGCTGAGCGGCCTTTCAGGTTATGTCGATATAGGACTAGTTTTATTGTGGATATAGATACTTTTGTACCTGTTTCCTCCAGCATCTTCACAAGGTCCTTTGCTGTTGTTCTGGGATTGATTAGCACTTTCCGCAATTTTTTTTCTGAGGTCTTGGCTGATTTCTTCTGATTTTCCCATGATGTCAAGCAAAGAGGCACTGAGTTTGAAGGTAGGCCTTGAAATACATCCACAGGTACACCTCCAATTGACTCAAATGATGTCAATTAGCCTGTCAGAAGCTTCTAAAGCCATGACATCATTTTCTGGAATTTTCCAAGCTGTTTAAAGGCACAGTCAACTTAGTGTATGTGAACTTCTGACCCACTGGAATTGTGATATAGTGAATTATAAGTGAAATAATCTGTCTGTAAACAATTGTTGGAAAAATTACTTGTGTCATGCACAAAGTATATGTCCTAACCGACTGTCACGATCGTCTGAAGGATTGGACCAATGCGCAGCGTTGCGAGTGAACATGATGACTTTATTAATCCAAAGAAACCACGAAAAACAACAAAAGACGATACGTGACGTTCTATACTGAAACACACTAACAACAACACAGAAACAATAACCCACAAAACAAAGGAGAAAACACACAGAATATATATGGCTCCCAATCAGAGATAACGAGCCGACAGCTGACACTCGTTACCTCCGATTGGGAGTCATAGACCAATCAACATAGACACAAACAAAATGAAACTCACCCATCCCCAACACCACCAAATGAAATACACCCAAACACATGAAAATGAACAACCCTGGCTCAATTATAAAGTCCATAGAGCCAGAGTGTCACAGTACCCCCCCCTAAAGGTGCGAACTCCGGGCGCACCAACATCAGGACTAGGGGAGGGTCTGGGTGGGCGTCTGTCCACGGTGGCGGCTCTGGCCCCGGTCGTGATCCCCACCCCACCACAGTCACAACCTGCTTCGGTAGCCTCCTCCCAATGACCACCCTCCAACTAACCCCACCTGGACTAAGGGGCAACACCGGACTAAGGGGCAGCATCGGCCTAAGGGGCAGCACCGGGATAAGGGGCAGCACCGGGATAAGGGGCAGCACCGGACTACGGGGCAGCACCGGGCTAAGGGACAGTACCTGACTAAGGGGCAGCACCGGACTAAGGGGCAGTACCAGGCTGAATGGCGGATCCCGGCTGGTCGGCTCTGGCGGATCCCGGCTGGACGGCTCTGGCGGATCCCGGCTGGACGGCTCTGGCGGATCCCGGCTGGACGGCTCTGGCGGATCCCGGTTGGACGGCTCTGGCGGATCCCGGCTGGACGGCTCTGGCGGATCCCGGCTGGACGGCTCTGGCGGATCCCGGCGGGACGGCTCTGGCGGATCCAGGCTGGACGGCTCTGGCGGATCCCGGCGGGACGGCTCTGGCGGATCCCGGCTGGACGGCTCTGGCGGATCCCGGCTGGACGGCTCTGGCGGATCCCGGCTAGACGGCTCTGGCGGATCCCGGCTGGACGGCTCTGGCGGATCCTGGCTGGCTGACGGATCTGGCTGATCCTGGCTGGCTGACGGATCTGGCTGCTCATGGCTGGCTAACGGATCTGGCTGCTCATGGCTGGCTGACGGATCTGGCTGCTCATGGCTGGCTGACGGATCTGGCTGCTCATGGCTGGCTGACGGATCTGGCTGCTCATGGCTGGCTGACGGATCTGGCTGCTCATGGCTGGCTGACGGATCTGGCTGCCCATGGCTGGCTGACGGATCTGGCTGCCCATGGCTGGCTGACGGATCTGGCTGCCCATGGCTGGCTGACGGATCTGGCTGCCCATGGCTGGCTGACGGATCTGGCTGCCCATGGCTGGCTGACGGATCTGGCTGCCCATGGCTGGCTGACGGATCTGGCTGCTCATGGCTGGCTGACGGATCTGGCTGCTCATGGCTGGCTGACGGATCTGGCTGCTCATGGCTGGCTGACGGGTCTGGCTGCTCATGGCTGGCTGACGGATCTGGCTGCTCATGGCTGGCTGACGGATCTGGCTGCTCATGGCTGGCTGACGGATCTGGCTGCTCATGGCTGGCTGACGGGTCTGGCTGCTCATGGCTGGCTGACAGGTCTGGCTGCTCATGGCTGGCTGACGGGTCTGGCTGCTCATGGCTGGCTGACGGATCTGGCTGCTCATGGCTGGCTGACGGATCTGGCTGGGAGACTGGCGGTGGAGGCGGACCCCAGCCTCGGATTGCAGTCAACATCTCCAGCAGGGCGGCTCCCATCTGCAGGAGCTGCTCTTCCTGGTCCCGAACCCGAGCTTCCAGTCTAGTATGGGCTGCGTCGGCTCCTGCTGATTCCATAGCAGATGTATGATTCTGTCTGGCGGAAGGCTCTAGCGGCTCCTGTCTGGCGGAAGGCTCTGAAGGCTCATGGCAGACGGACGGCTTTGCAGGCTCAGTACAGACGGGCGGCTTATGCAGCGCTTGGCAAACGGGCAGTTCAGACGCCATAGGGCCGACGGGCAGTTCAGGCGCCGTTGGGCAGACGGCAGACTCTGGCCGACTGGTAACGCACCCCGTAGGATTCGTGCGTGGAGCAGGAACAGGCCGGGCTGGGCTGGCGACGCGCACCTTATCCCTGGTGCGAGTGGCCGGAACAGGCCGGGCCGGGCTGGCGACGCACATCGTGGACCTGGTGCGTGGAGTAGGAACAGACCGGTCCGTACCGGGAACACCCACCACTGGCCTTAACTGGGGATCAAGAACGGACCGGACCAGACTGGGAACACACTTCAGTCTCTCATGCCGTGCCACAACAACTTCCCTCCCTCTACTCGCCAATGGCTCCCGTAATCCGATAGCCTTTTCTCCAGCTCTACCTGTGGCAGCCTCCTGCTGCCCAGCTGCCCAAGCCATGTGCCCCCCCCAAAAAATTTCTTGGGGTTGCCTCTCTTCCACGGGCTTCCAGCCTTGCCTTCGCGCTGCCTCCTCGTACCACCTCCTCTCGGCTTTGGCTGCCTCCAGCTCTTCACGAGGGAGGCGATATTCTCCCGGTTGTGCCCAAGGATCCTTTCCGTCCAATAACTCTTCCCATGTCCAGACCCTCGGCTCCTGGACACGCTTGTTACGCTGCTTGGTCCTTTTGTGGTGGGTTATTCTGTCACGATCGTCTGAAGGATTGGACCAATGCGCAGCGTTGCGAGTGAACATGATGACTTTATTAATCCAAAGAAACCACGAAAAACAACAAAAGACGATACGTGACGTTCTATACTGAAACACACTAACAACAACACAGAAACAATAACCCACAAAACAAAGGAGAAAACACACAGAATATATATGGCTCCCAATCAGAGATAACGAGCCGACAGCTGACACTCGTTACCTCCGATTGGGAGTCATAGACCAATCAACATAGACACAAACAAAATGAAACTCACCCATCCCCAACACCACCAAATGAAATACACCCAAACACATGAAAATGAACAACCCTGGCTCAATTATAAAGTCCATAGAGCCAGAGTGTCACACCGACTTGCCAAAACTATAGTTTGTTAACAATAAATTTGTGGAGTGGTTGAAAAACAAGTTTTAATGACTCCAACCTAAGTTTATGTAAACTTCCGACTTCAACTGTAAAGTTGTAGATAGGCAATAACAGGGATTGCAAACTCTGTCTTGTTATGGCAATGAACAATTTAGTCCAGTCTGTCTCTGCAGTCTGCATGCAGAATGTATAATATGAAGCTTGCACCTGTTTCCACCTGAGTTTCACAGGCACTCTGACTTGTGTACCACTCCAAAAGATAAGAAAAAATGTTCTATCAGCTTGTGTTTTTCTGTCTTGTAAGTTATGCCCTTTTTACATTTGTCTTTGTACTGTAATGTGATAACAGGTTGTAACCCAAAATGAGAGATGTTCTCCTAAAAGCGACATTTACTTTTATGAAAAATTCCTGCTGGAATGCAAGTATTTGCCAGTTGATGTGACTAATTTTCAATGTCAGAAGTTGTTTTCTCATGAACATAAATCAATACTAAAATCAATACTTATATAAATCAGTTGGGGCAGGGCAGGGTGGAGCTTGTGTTAGTGGAATGAGTTGTTGCAGTAATGCTGTGAGTTGCTGTTATTCCATTAATTGTTTCAGTTATATATTATTCTTACAATTGTTTTTTTAAGGCTTGAATAGAATTTCAACTATTCATTTTTGTTGTTTATTGTTGTTTAATTGAATTTAAAATATGTGTCTCATTCAGTTGTGGCTCATAATGTGTCTCTGAGGTATTATGTAATGTTTGTGCTGCTACTGAATAGGTTCTCTCATAAATAAAGTGCCTTTGTATTGCAGCTCAGGTTTTTGTGGATTATAATAGCAATATTTTGGCACGGTCAGCATGTTATGTGAGTGGGGAGTTCAGTTTCTGTAGCTTTGTGGTGTGACTATAGGCAGAGTTTATGTTGCGTTGCCTTAGTGCAGAGCTGTGTTGCTGTGGCTGTGTCACAGAGAGTCACCACGAGAGGGAGGGACTTAGGCAGGAGGACAATGCTGGTGTTTGTGCAACGGCCCCTGAGCGGCGACTAGGTCTCTCAGATTGCTCTCGCTTGACTACCGTTGCTGTACACATTGTTGAAGTGAAAGGAAAGTGGACAGCTTGATCCTGCTTGTGGCATGCACTGAGAGGAGTAAGTTCCCCACTGCTATCTTTCTTATGATAAAACAAAAATGTCAGTCTTAAAATTAACTATGTTGTCTGTGCTGGATGATCTGGTGCAGTTTGGAGACGTTGGGGCTTGGGGGTTTGAGGTTGGCGTGGGGTGGACGCTCTTGTCTGTGTTTTGGCAGGGGACTAGTGTGAAAGGAGCAGAGCTGAAAGAAAGATTCACAGAGAGGCTCAGTGAAAGGCATGTGCAGAATGTGATTGGGCACTAGAAATGCAAGTGCAGAGCTGTAGTAAGAGAGGGATCCAGAGGAACGGTTTAAAAGAGGAGGATGTTTGTGGTGGAAGATAAAAACTGAGGAGAAATCAAAAGAAAGGTGAGAGATGGAGAAAGGTGAATTTATTGTTTTTTCATAGGAAGAGAGAAGCGAGGATAGAGGGAAGGTTTACAGAGGTAAAAATAGAGAAGGGGAATGGAGGTGGGGAGATTAAGAGAGAGATCAATTAGGGAGCTGAGAGAAGGAAGTAAGGAGATAAAAAAAATTAAGAATGGAAGAAAGGGGTAAGGGGACAAGAGGAGAAGAGGGTAATTTGAAAGGTGGGAACACCTGATGTTGATTTTACAGCTTGGGTAATATTGTCTATAATAATGCTTTACAGACCAGCTTCTGACAATCATTGTTGGCAGAAAATAAGTTGTCAAACCAATGTTACAAGTTCACATTTAATATTTTTTTCAGTCCTGGATTTCAAACACGGCAAAAGGAAACCAGTAAGTACGTCATCATTCAGTTCTGCCCTCCTCTGTAGATCAAATAGTCTTATCCCTTTTAGAAATAAGATTAGAGAGACTTAAGACGTGTGGGAGCCCCAGGAAATTCTGCCTCAGTATTATGAATGACCTGCCTGGGTACCAGACGTGTTTGTGCTAACCTTCCACTCCTTGCCACTCCTTGTCCTATGCCAACATGAAAAGGAGTTGCATGATGGCGCAAACAGATCTGGGATCCTGCTAATGAATGACCAAGATGGCCTTCAATAATAAGATCTACTGTCAGAATTCTGATTCAGTGTGCGGACATTCAATCCTCTACAATACCCTGAAAACTATTGCTATAAAGAGTTGTCACTGCAATTCAGAGAGTTAACAAAGAGATAAAAGGACCTCGGTATGATACTGAGGTATGGGAAAAGGTAACCTGACCCATGTCATTGGTGTGGCCTTGCTCTTTTGGAACAGACAGAGACCACTGGTATTCCTGTGTGGCACAGTGGAGCGGGAAGACTGGCCGGAGGACACCGGTTAAACTCAGGTGGTGGGTGCCACATTACAGCGGAGAGGAACCCTAATGGTTCCCCACTGTGGAAGAACAGACACTACATTGATACCATAGAGGCGGCAAGCTGCAGTTGAGCCGGAGACAGGTGGGCCGGTAAGGGTACGGTAGTGGTGACACCTTGGGGCTGAGCTGGTGTGCCGATAGGAGGAGGAGGAAGGAAACTGACGTGGGCCTGGAGCCCAGTGAGAGCCAGGATGGCCGAGCAGAAAGTTAGGTAACCACCATTACAATAACTCTTCCCCTAGAACCTTGAGGATTCAATCTAACTATAGAGTGAAAGTAGGAAACATTTTGTGTTGCTCTATGTTAACATTGTGCATTTACATAGTGTTTATGTCTGTGTCTTTCCGTGTGTGTGTGTGTGTGTATGTATGTATGTATCTGTTTGTGTGTGTGCCTGTGTTCCTGTTTGTCTGTGTTTTTGAATGGATTTGTGTCCCTCGGGTGGCTTGCGTGGGTGTGTGTGCTTGTGTTTTGTGTTTTCCACAGCCTCCCTGCTAAGCTGATTAATGGGGGCGTGGCAGGGCTGGTGGGTGTAACCTGTGTGTTTCCTATTGATCTGGCCAAGACCCGCCTACAGAACCAGCAGGGTGCCCGAGTCTACACCGGGATGTGAGTACTGCCTTGGCTCCTCTTTTATTTTATTCACACAAGGGACTTGAGACACTTCCTGTCCTCCGTCTTTGAGACGGGGAGACGCTCCTTTTGAAACAGGTTTTCCCTTGTGGGATGAATACAGTTTATTGAACTGGAAGAAAGAGAGAATAGTTCTGTTTTGACTCATGCACTCAGTAATTGTTCACAAGTAATCAGACTAAGCTGTCCATGAGGGCAGATTGGGTCAAACATGTTTTTGCACATCTGCATTCAAAACAAGCGTTTGGTGCTGTATTGGTGAGCGCTATATTTACAGAGTGGCTTCCACAATAAATCAGACAGGGAAAATAGCTTATTCTTGGCTCTATGGTATTAGTTCTTGACATTCTTGGTTCTACTGTCTAGTACAGACAGCTGTCTATCTCTATACATCTGTACAGATAAGACAGTGCTATGGCAACACAGGGTTGAGTGGGCATTATGCCTATATTTACCTTGGTGAAGACAGAATTTTGGCCCAGTGAGTTACTGATTGGCACAGGAGTGATCCTTTGGCATCATGTCTACTCCTGGTCTTTTAATTAAGTAACAATTTCGTACAGTGACGGAAAAAAGTATTTGATCCCCTGCTGATTTTGTACGTTTGCCCACTGACAAAGACATGATCAGTCTATAATTTTAATGGTAGGTTTATTTGAACAGTGAGAGACAGAATAACAACAACAAAATCCAAAAAAACGCATGTCAAAAATGTTATAAATTGATTTGTATTTTAATGAGGGAAATAAGTATTTGACCCCTCTGCAAAACATGACTTAGTACTTGGTGGCAAAACCCTTGTTGGCAATCACAGAGGTCAGACGTTTCTTGTAGTTGGCCACCAGGTTTGCACACATCTCAGGAGGGATTTTGTCCCACTCCTCTTTGCAGATCTTCTCCAAGTCATTAAGGTTTCGAGGCTGACGTTTGGCAACTCGAACCTTCAGCTCCCTCCACAGATTTTCTATGGGATTAAGTTCTGGAGACTGGCTAGGCCACTCCAGGACCTTAATGTGCTTCTTCTTGAGCCAGTCCTTTGTTGTCTTGACTGTGTGTTTTGGGTCATTGTCATGCTGGAATACCCATCCACAACCCATTTTCAATGCCCTGGCTGAGGGAAGGAGGTTCTCACCCAAGATTTGACGGTACATGGCCCCGTCCATCGTCCCTTTGATGCGGTGAAGTTGTCCTGTCCCCTTAGCAGAAAAACACCCCCAAAGCATAATGTTTCCACCTCCATGTATGACAGTGGGGATGGTGTTCTTGGGGTCATAGGCAGCATTCCTCCTCCTCCAAACATGGCGAGTTGAGTTGATGCCAAAGAGCTCGATTTTGGTCTCATCTGACCACAACAATTTCACCCAGTTCTCCTCTGAATCATTCAGATGTTCATTGGCAAACTTCAGACGGCCCTGTATATATGCTTTCTTGAGCAGGGGGACCTTGCGGGCGCTGCAGGATTTCAGTCCTTCACGGCGTAGTGTGTTACCAATTGTTTTCTTGGTGACTATGGTCCCAGCTGCCTTGAGATCATTGACAAGATCCTCCCGTGTAGTTCTGGGCTGATTCCTCACCGTTCTCATGATCATTGCAACTCCACGAGGTGAGATCTTGCATGGAGCCCCAGGCCAAGGGAGATTGACAGTTATTTTGTGTTTCTTCCATTTGCAAATAATCGCACCAACTGTTGTCACCTTCTCACCAAGCTGCTTGGCGATGGTCTTGTAGCCCATTCCAGCCTTGTGTAGGTCTACAATCTTGTCCCTGACATCATTGGAGAGCTCTTTGGTCTTGGTCATAGTGGAGAGTTTGGAATCTGATTGATTGATTGCTTCTGTGGATAGGTGTCATTTATGCAGGTAACAAGCTGAGATTAGGAGCATTCCCTTTAAGAGTGTGCTCCTAATCTCAGCTCGTTACCTTTATAAAAGACACCTGGGAGCCAGAAATCTTTCTGATTGAGATGGGGTCAAATACTTATTTCCCTCATTAAAATGCAAATAAATTTATAACATTTATGACATGCGTTTTTTCTGGATTTTTTTGTTGTTATTCTGTCTCTCACTGTTCAAATAAACCTACCATTAAAATTATAGACTGATCATTTCTTTGTCAGTGGGCAAACGTACAAAATCAGCAGGGGATCAAATACTTTTTTCCCTCACTGTAACTGCTCATGAAGTTGATCACATCAATGGAAAATCACAATGCGAACCAAATGTGAACCAATTAAAGGAAGGTGTCCATCAATTATCTTTGCGTTTGTAGTGTGTAGCTGTGTTTAAGTGATACTGAACAACCAACATTCAGCTATGTAGGGTTTATGTTAAGATTGACAAGACACTGTATTGTAAGGAAAAGCAAATTACTTACATGGTATTCATTTTTCATAATTTTTTTATTTGATTTTATTATTATTAAATATTCAAACATACAATCTACTTGCAGTGAAGCCGTTCAACATTTACATTACATTCAGGTATTCATTGTTTATGCATGGTCAATAAGCATCAGTTATAAATGTTATAAGATAAATCATGAATTTCATAGATGGAATTCTTCAGAAAGTTCACCCAAACTGATTTTACCTTAATATTTCTCCTTTTGATGTGAAGGCTGGACTGTTTGACGAAGACAGTTAAGATGGAAGGCTACTTTGGGATGTATCGAGGTACTATTTCCCTGGATTAATGTAATGTACAATTCTGTGTTTTGAGTTTAGCTAACATTGCCTAAATTGACATAGCTGCGGTAAACCTTGTATTGTACTTTTTTAAAGTATCAAGCACTTACAGTTAGTAACTAGCCCAGAGCTAATCATATGGAAGTGCAGTGCAGGGGAAGGTTTTGTGTATGATGTTAACTGTAGTTTATGTGTTGCTATAATCAATTACCCCCCCCCCCCCCCCCCCCCCCCCTCCCCTCCCCTCCCCAGGTGCAGTAGTGAATCTCACTCTTGTCACACCAGAGAAAGCCATCAAACTGGCAGCAAATGATATCTTCAGACAGAAGCTCTCCAAGGATGGGTAACTCACTTTTTGTCCTAGTACAGCACCTACACTTTTCACGATTCAACTGAAAGATACTTAAACTGAAACACTTTTTGGGGCAGGGGACCCCTTTTGTGATAGCACATTCATCAGGGACCCCCTCATAATCAGAACACAACTCGATTGAGTTAACAATAGCATGGCTAGGATGAATAAAGTTTTGGGCCCTGGGAATGAACATTTTAAAGGCCCACCTCTTGGCACCAGAGAGAAAATGTTGCAATTCAAGCTAATTTCCTGCAGTACAGATTTTGTCATGTGGCAGAGAGATTTTTTGTTGTTGCAGCTTTAAAGGTAATATCCTGCAAAGAGAGAAAATTTTGCAGTTTTTAAAGCAAAACAAAATACAGTGCATTTATGTACTGGAAAACAAGAAGTATTGAGTTGAAAATTGATAATTGGTGGAGTACTGTGGATACCAATATCCCTCCCAGGCCCGTGTTGCCCAGGGTTAAGAACATAAATTGTAGATGAATAATCTTACATTGTATTGTATTACACCCTCTAAACGTATTCCACGGATCCCTTGGCCAAACGTAGTTTAATCTGTTGTCATCAGTAATATTCATTTAAAACAAATAAAGGCCCAGTGCAGTCAAAAATTTGATTTTCCTGTGTTTTATATATATTTCCACACTGTGAGGTTGGAATAATACTGTGAAATTGATGATAATGCCCTTTTAGTGCAAGTGCTGTTCGAAAAGACTGCCTGAAATGTCAGCCTGTTTTGGTGGGATGGAGTTTTGGCCTGCCTGGTGACAGTTAATAGACCAATAAGAAAGAGAGTCCCAAACCTCTCTGCCAATAACAGCTAATTTTCAGTTTCCCCTCCCCATTCAGACCACTCCCAGACAGTTCTAGCAAAATTCTTGCTTGAGAAATTGCTCTTTTTAAGAAGCTATTTTTGTTTATTTTTGCCCATCTTAAAGTGGCAATATGTACATTTTTGGGCGACCAGACCAAATTCACACAGAAATGTGAGTTATAGATCTATCATTCTACTTGAAAGCAAGTCTAAGAAGCGGTAGATACTGTATGTTCTATGTGCGCTATTTCTATGCTTCCTGTTCTTAAGTTTTGTTTTTGTGTCTTTTACTTTCGGTTTTGTACACCAGCTTTAAGCATTTGAAACAACAATATTTTTGGTTATGGAAAATATATTTCACAGCGGTTTAGATGGTACAATATTTTGTCACATAAACTGAAATTAGGTGAATTATTAGAGTATTAGCAACCAGGAATTGGCGTAGCGATTTCTGCATAGTGCAACTTTAATTGAAAACAATCACAGTAAGGTACTTAATTGTTACCCAGAAATGATTTGATATTTAGATAAAAACGGCCGCATTGGACCCCACTTCGAGAACCCCTGCCTTAGAGCACTTATTTATCCAAAAAGATCATGAGGTGGATAATCCTTAGTTAACATAACATTCATGTAATAAAGTCAAACAATCTAAGGTGCTATTGCTACAGTGCACTGTCTATTTATCAGAGTGGTGGTGCCATTGCTATGTGTCGTTTATTAGCCTAACTCAGTCATTTTGTCCCACAGGAAATTGCCCCTATGGGGGGAGATACTTGCAGGATGTGGGGCGGGGACGTGCCAGGTGATAGTGACCACACCAATGGAGATGCTCAAGATCCAGTTGCAAGATGCAGGAAGGTTGGGTGAGTTCTGTGAACCATTTGTCCTTAGGCCACAGCTCAGTGTGCTAGGCAGTGATAATGACTCAGCTGCTGAAGTTTTTTGACACTGATATGGTGTGTGTGTGTGTGTGTGTGTCACAGCTGCCATAACCAGAGTGGTCCAAGCAGCTCCTGGTCCAGCACCGTCATTGGTGGCCCCCCCTCCAGCCCAGCCTACCCCTCCACCACGGACCACTGCCATCCGTATCACCCTGGAGCTACTGAAGACACGCGGCCTGCCTGGCCTCTACCGGGGAGCAGGAGCCACACTGATGAGGTCAAACACTCTCTCTGTTTCTCTCAAATTCACATAGGCAACAGCATACAAAGTCGAACACTGAATGAATGATATTAGACAAACTGTACGTGTGTGTGTCAAACGTACGTACTCACTCACTCATTCACTCCCTGTGGGCCAAGCACACACACACACACAAACACGCACACAAACATGTTTCTCTTGTTCAGTTCTGAGTAATCCTGAACTGAGGTAACCTGCTAGACTCACTGTCAGGCCTGATTTGTCTCATTGCCTCATTACTGGTGATTAGTTCGTGGCAAAGACCTTCAGATTTACTTCTGGTTAAGGCTACCTCATTTACGTACACAACATATCGCATCACTCTGTTCAAATAAGTTGTATCTTACGGTATGTGGGGTCTGACTGGCACCCTGGTTAATCAAGCCCAACATAAATCAATAGGTTATTGCAGTTATGTCTGGCAGGGTTAATCCTGCTGTGGACTGAGGTATGCCTCTGTTATTTTTTCTTTTCCAGGGACGTCCCTTTCTCTATGATCTACTTCCCACTGTTCGCCAACCTGAACGCGCTGGGCCGGGGAGGGCCGGGTAGCCATGGAGACCTGCAAGAGCGGGCCCCCTTCCTGCAGTCCTTCACGGCAGGCTGCACAGCCGGATCAGTGGCAGCTGTAGCTGTCACACCACTGGACGGTGAGAGAGACGGAGGCAGGGAAGGGCTGGGGGAGCCCCATAAAGGAGAGATAAACCACTGTATTCTCAGTGTCATTCAGTAACGTACACGTTATTCAGTAGCAGCACATGTTGTTCAGTCCTACACTGTAACGTCCACAATAAAACCATCTAATCCTTATGTAGATGTCATACAGGGACAGTTTGTAAGGGCTAAATCCTGTGTCGGGTTGGGGTTGCAGAGGCTATTGAATTTGATTAGCGGATTACAATTAAATGATATCCCAAGTGCAATAGAATGAACTACAGTATTATCAATAACTCAGGAATCCCAGAGCACAATGATACCCTCATTGTCTGTACTTTATAAAGAAGGGCAGTTGAGTTGACATTGATTTCTGTGTGTGTGTGTTTGTTGGCAGTCATAAAGACTCGTATACAGACCTTGCAGAAGGGGGAGGGGGAGGACACATACCGAGGCATTGTTGACTGCACACGGTAAGGCATGCACTGTAAAACCCACACGTCTGCTACTCCAATGGGTATGTGTAAACCTTTCGCTGACAGCAGGTTTCTCACCTTTCCATAGGCGGATCTGGAGTAAAGAGGGCCCAGCAACATTCCTCAAGGGGGCGACGTGTCGCGCTCTGGTCATTGCCCCTCTCTTCGGCATCGCACAGGGGGTCTACTTTCTGGGCGTAGGAGAGCAGTTGCTAGGGCTACTGGGATAGCAGCAGAATGCGGCAGTGACCCTTTACTGTATAGAACATACTGCTTCATTCAGCAGTGAAAATGAATGGAGGGAGAGAGGAGAGTGGGGCCCTAACTGTATGAGCACTGAGTACATGGAGAGAGAGCGAGAGAAATACCGAAAGAGAGGTCACAATCAGCTAACCAAATGATGAAAAAAAGAGGAAGAGTGTGAAAGATGTGGAGGCTCTAACTACTAACATGGGAAACAACATTGCACACTAATTATGTTTGTCTAGATTTCTAAAAGTTGTAAGCAGGGTTCTATAGGTTTTAAACAGGCTCCTGAGTGTTTATGTATGTGTCTAATCTGGAGGTGTCTCAGCCAGGTTGGTGTCTTGGGGTTGTATTTTCAACCAGAGAGTTAACTCTCCATGGTTCTTATGCAGAAGGGTCCTTGAGTTTGCCATCACTAAGGAAGTTGCCAAGCTATTGTGTTATTTGTTTGACAATAGCACTGTATGTAAGTGACAAAATCCTCTTGAAATTTGTTTTCAAACTATCAAATATTTGTATGAATGTTGTATAATGTTGACTATATTACCATGTCTAAACTAGAATTAGGCCCGCATTTCAAAGCAAATGGTTTACCTTTCAGAGAGATATCCTTTTTGTTTTGTTTTATGAAAAAGGATTTAACCTCCACATTAGCTCAGTGAGTTCCTATCCCATCCGTGAGTCCAGAGTTGTAATCTTGGACTCCTCCTGTGTCAAGCACTGCCAGTTAACTGTATAGGGTCAGTTGTTAATGCTTTAATCCTATCTCTGTACTGTAACCCACTAAACAGCCAGGCTCCTCGCCTACAGATTAGACTGCTGGGCCTGCACTCTGAGGCCTTACCTTCCTGTTCACCATAACTCTGAGGCTCAGAAGCAAACCTCCTTTACCTGTATTACTGTTAGCTTAACTTTTTTTAATGCTTCTTTGAATGACATGTCATTTACACAATAAAAATAAAGCCTTATTTTGCTGATGGAGTCTCTTGTTCAAAACATTTAACTTGTGCATGAATCTTAAAATTTGGAATTCAGCAGAATTTTAAAAAGTGTTGAAATGTTTGGTGTTGGCTGTATTGATGTACAATGAAGTTGAGCCTATGATAAGATCCATTTTAAAGCACTCAGTTCTTGCGAAGTTTCTATGGTGTAAATCCACTAGGTGGCAATAAAAGCATTTAGTTTTTTACATTTTTAATGCTGAACACTACATTTTATGATGGGGCTGGAATAACTATTTGATTATTAATTGGAGAGAACAATCTGATTTGAATGAACATTCTGTTTACGAACTGTAAATAAAAAGACTGAATATTCACATTTCTGTGTTGCATATGTATTTATTATTAATCACATGCGTAAGTAACAATAAAATAAATCCATTCTCCAATCCAATATATTCCCATTCAACACAAAATACACACACACACACAAACAACCATCAAAAGGTATACAGCAGCAGCCACCCTTTTAGGAGTTTGAACACCTTACGGTAAACAAACAATACCTTGATTGTTCCGCAAGGGAAGGTAAAGGGGGCAATCTACACTGAACAAAAATATGAACGCATCATGTAAAGTGTTGGTCCCATGTTTCATGAGCTGAAAAAAAAAATCCCAGAAATGTTCCGTACGCACAAAAAGTTTATTTCTTGTCAGTGAGCATTTCTCCTTTGCCAAGATAATCCATCCACCTGACAAGTGTGGCATATCAAGAAGCTGATTAAACAACATGATCATTACACAGGTGCATCTTGTGCTGGGGACAATAAAAGGCCACTTTAAAATGTGCAGTTTTGTCACACAACACAATGCCACAGATGTCTCAAGTTTTGAGGGAGCGTCCAATTAGCATGCTGACTGCAGGAATGTCCACCAGAGCTGTTGCCAGATAATTTATTGTAAATTTTTCTACCATAAGCTGCCTCCAACGTAGTTTTAGAGAATTTGGCAGTATGTCCAACTGGCCTCACAACCACAGACCACGTGTAACCACGCCAGCCCAGGACCTCCACATCCTGCTTCGTCACCTGTCTGAGGGAGGGGTGGGGGAGGTATTTGTCTGTATTAAAGCCATTTTGTGGGGAAAAACTCATTCTGATAGGCTGGGCCTGGCTCCCCAGTGGGTGGGCCTGGCTGCCAAGTGGGTCGGCCCATGCCCTCCCAGGCCCACCCATGGCTGCACCCATGCCCAGTCGTGAAATCCATAGATTAGGGCCTAATTTATTTATTTCAATTGACAAATGTCCTTATATGAACTGTAACTCAGTAAAATCTTTGAAATTGATGCATGTTGCGTTAATATATTTTTTCTGTATAGGTTACAATCAGACAACCTGCAGTGCTGGGAGGGGAGCAGTGGTAAACTGAGAGTAGGATAAAACACTTGTGAAAGCCACCTACCTTTAACACCAGCCAACACACATTCTCCCTCACATCGTGTCTCATAAAACCGTGTCTTACTTTGGAAGATCATAGAGATAAGTGCTCTGGGGAGATAGAGATGACCATGGGTGTTCTTTTCCATTTTTAACCATCCCTTCAGAAAACAAACATCCTGGGCGTCACAGAGACTCTGCTTAACTTTCCACATATCCAGTCCAAATAAGAGGCTTGTTCGCAGTAGCACATCCAATGATACCTTAACCTTTCTGTCTCCATCAGCATCATCGGTTAATCCAAAAATGTATGGTTTGGGTTGGCACCGAACAGAGCCACTCTGACCTCCGGCATCATCTGTCAGAGAGGAAACAGAGAGGACAGAGTGAATACCTCATCTCTCAAGGTACTGCTCACGATAAATCAAATCACATTTTATTTGTCACATGTGCCGAATACAACAGGTGTAGACCTTACAGTGAAATGCTTACTTACAAGCACTTAACCAAAAAAACGTTTTAAGAAAAATAAGTGTAAAGTAAACAATAGATAAGTAGAAAATAAAAGCAGTAAAATAACAGTAAAAATAACAATAGCGAGGCTATATACAGGGGGTACCGGTACTGAGTCAATCTGCGGGGGCAACGGTTAGTCAAGGTAATTGAGGTAATATGTACATGTAGGTATAGTTAAAGTGACTATGCATAGATAATAAACAGAGTAACAGCAGCATAAAAGAGGGGTTGGGGGGCAATGCAAATAGTCTGGGTAGCCATTTGATTAGCTGTTTAGGAGTCTTATGGCTTGGGGGGTAGAAGCTGTTAAGAAGCCTTTTGGACCTACACTTGGCGCTCCGGTACCGCTTGCCGTGCAGTAGAGAACAGTCTATGACTAGGGTGGCTGGAGTCTTTGACAATTTTTAGGGCCTTTCTCTGACACCGCCTGGTATAGAGGTCCTGGATGGCAGGAAGCTTGGCCCCAGTGATGTACTGGGCCGTACGCACTACTCTCTGTAGTGTCTTGTGGTCGGAGGCCGAGCAGTTGCCATACCAGGCAGTGATGCAACCAGTCAGGATGCTCTTGATGGTGCAGCTGTATAACTTTTTGAGGATCTGAGGACCCATTCCAAATCTTTTCAGTCTCCTGAGGGGGAATAGGCTTTGTCGTGCCCTCTTCATGACTGTCTTGGTGTGTTTGGACCATGATAGTTTGTTGGTGATGTGGACACCAAGGAACTTGAAGCTGTCAACTTGCTCCACTACAGCTCCGTCGATGAGAATGGGGGCGTGCTCGGTCCTTCTTTTCCTGTAGTCCACAATCATCTCCTTTGTCTTCATCACGTTGAGGGAGAGCTTGTTATCCTGGCACCACACTGCCAGGTCTCTGACCTCCTCCCTATAGGCTGTCTCATCGTTGTCAGTGATCAGGCCTACCACTGTTGTGTCGGCAGCAAACTTAATGATGGTGTTGGAGTCGTGCCTGGCCATGCAGTCATGGGTGAACAGGGAGTACAGGAGGGGACTGAACACGCACCCCTGATGGGCCCCTGTGTTGAGGATCAGCTTGGCAGATGTGTTGTTACCTACCCTTACCACCTGGGGGCGGCCCGTCAGGAAGTCCAGGATCCAGTTGCAGAGGGAGGTGTTTAGTCCCAGGGTCCTTAGCTTAATGATGAGCTTTGAGGGCACTATGGTGTTGAGCGCTGAGCTGTAGTCAATGAATAGCATTCTCACGTAGGTGTTCCTTTTGTCCAGGTGGGAAAGGTCAGTGTGGAGTGCAATAGCGATTGCATCATCTGTGGATCTGTTGGGGCGAATTGGAGTGGGTCTAGGGTTTCTGGGATAATGGTGTTGATGTGAGCCATGACCAGCCTTTCAAAGCACTTAATGTCTACAGACGTCAGTGCTACGGGTCGGTAGTCATTTAGGCAGGTTACCTTAGTGTTATTGGGAACAGGGACTATGGTGGTTGAAAATGTCAGTGAAGACACTTGCCAGTTGGTCAGCGCATGCTCGGAGTACACGTCCTGGTAATCCGTCTGGCCCTGCGGCCTTGTGAATGTTGACCTGTTTAAAGGTCTTACTCACATCGGCTACGGAGAGCGTGATCACACAGTGGTCTGGAACAGCTGATGATCTCCTGCATGCCTCAGTTTTGCTTGCCTCAAAGCGAGTATAGAAGTGATTTAGCTCGTCTGGTAGGCTCGTGTCACTGGGCAGCTCGCGGCTGTGCTTTCCTTTGTAGTCTGTAATAGTTTGCAAGCCCTGCCACATCCGACGAGCGTCGGAGCCGGTGTAGTACGATTCAATCTTAGTCCTGTATTGACGCTTTGCCTGTTTGATGGTTCATCGGAGGGCATAGCGGGATTTCTTACAAGCGTCCGGTTTAGAGTTCCGCTCCTTAAAAGCGGCAGCTCTACCCGGATGTTGCCTGTAATCCATGGCTTCTGGTTGGGGTATGTACGTACGGTTACTGTGGAGATGATGTCATCGATGCACTTATTGATGAAGCCAGTGACTGATATGGTGTACTCCTCAATGCCATCGGAAGAATCCGGGAACATATTCCAGTCTGTGCTAGCAAAACAGTTATGTAGCTTAGCATCTGCATCATCTGACCACTTCCTTATTAACCGAGTCACTGGTGCTTCCAGTTTTTGCTTATAAGCAGGAATCAGGGGGATAGAATTATGGTCAGATTTGCCAAATGGAGGGCGAGGGAGAGCTTTATACGCATCTCTGTGTGTGGAGTAAAGGTGGTCTAGAGTTTTTTTTGCCTCTGGTTGCACATTTAACATGCTGGTAGAAATGAGGTAAAACTGATTTAAGTTTCCCTGCATTAAAGTCCCAGGCCACTAGGAGCGCCGCCTCTGGATGAGCGTTTTTCTGTTTGCTTATGGCCTTATACAGCTCATTGAGTGCAGTCTTAGTGCCAGCATCGGTTTGTGGTGGTAAATTGACAGCTACGAAAAATATAGATGAAAACTCTCTTGGTAAATAGTGTGGTCTACAGCTTATCATGAGATACTCTACCTCAGGCGAGCAAAACCTTGAGACATCCTTAATATTAGATTTTGTGCACCAGCTGTTCTTTACAAATATACACAGACCGCCACCCCTTGTCTTACCGGAGGCCGTTGTTCTATCTTGCCGATGCAGCGTAAACCACGCCAGCTGTATGTTATCCATGTTTTCGTTCAGCCATGACTCGGTGAAACATAAGATATTACAGTTTTTAAATGTCCTGTTGGTAGGATATTCGTGATCGTAACTAGTTAATTTTGTTATCCAATGATTGTACGTTGGCTAATAGGACTGATGGTAGAGGCACCTCGACCTACGTCCCCGATATTTCCATCTCTTTCTCCAGCGAATGACGGGGATTTGGGCCTTGTCGGGTGTCTGAAGTAAATCCTTCGCGTCCTACTCGTTGAATAATTTTTTTTTTGTCCAGTATGAGGTGAGTAATCGCTGTCCTGATATCCAGAAGCACTTTTTGGTTGTAAGAGACGGTGACAGAAACATTATGTACAGTCGTGGTCAAAAGTTTTGAAAATGACACAAATACTAATTTTCACAAAGTCTGCTGCCTCAGTTTTGATGATGGACATTTGCATATACTCCAGAATGTCATGAAGAGTGATCAGATGAATTGCAATTAATTGCAAAGTCCTCTTTGCCATGAAAATGAACTTAATCCCCCAAAAACATTTCCACTGCATTTCAGCCCTGCCACAAAAGGACCAGCTGCCATCATGTCAGTGATTCTCTCGTTAACACAGGTGAGAGTGTTGACGAGGACAAGGCTGGAGATCACTCTGTCATGCTAATTGAGTTAGAATAACAGACTGGAAGATTTAAAAGGAGGGTGGTGCTTGAAATCATTGTTCTTCCTCTGTTAACCATGGTTAC